AAAATTTTCAAGTGTATAACTTCTTAAAAGTTAAACACGACTCTTTTATAAATAAATCATAAGCATATTTGAAAGATTTGTTTAGTTTATTAATGAGAGAACCAGTCGAATGATGCAAGCTGGTTCAGATTATCTTAGAGAGATTGAGTTTCCATAGTCCTGGAAAGAAAGACTGCAAGAATCACATCACTAAGCTGGATATAAAAACTTATTGTCTTACTGGATAAAACCGTAACCTTCAGGCTATCTTTTCCACAAGACAAATCATTTGCAACCTATCAATCGTTTTCAGTTTAACATCCAACTTGAACTGAGCCTGGACCCTAATGAGTAGTAAATAGTAAGTGAAACAAGGGGCATTTCCACAGAGAATCAAATAATCCTCAAATGGACCTATTAGATGATACACTGGTATGACATTGAAAAGACATACAGTATTCACCCTTTTGCATGATTTTCAATGTTAGATAATTCAGTGTTTTTACCCATATTTGTCATGATCCAGCTTTCTACTTTCCCATGTCTAATAAGTGAAAAGTGTTATTTTGTTGCTTTCATTTGCATTTCTGGTTATTAATAGGTATGAACATCTGATATGTCTGTTAGCTTTGTTAATAATCTTTATCAGTATTTTTATTGGAGTCACTAACTTCTTTCTGTTAATTTGCAAGTATCTTCTAGTTTACTGAACATTAAATTTATGATGTCCTTCATTTAAAAGAAGTCTTAATTTTTATGTATTTTCAATTCATGGTTTTGCTTATGGTTTGTACTTTTGGAGTTTTATGTAAGTTATCTTTCCTTGCCTATTTTTCACAAAGGTTTTCTTCTATGTTTCATTTTAAAATTATACTTTTACCTTTTATATTATGTATTTAATCCATTTGGAATAATCCATTAATGTGATGTTAGGCAAGAATCCAGGGTTTCTTTCCCCATAAATTGAACCATTTTCCCCTCTACCATCCATTAAATAATTGAGCTTCCTTATTGATTTCTGGTGCCATCTTTATTGGATAATAAATTCTCACATATGAGTCTATCTCAGTGCTCTCTATTTGCTTCCTATAGTATAATGCCAGTATCAGAGTGTCTAATACAGAGCTTGTATTTTTTAATATCTGAAAGAGCAAGCCCTTCTTTACTCTTGTTTTTCATATCTAAGGTTTACTTAGCATCTGGTATACTTTTGCTTTTCCATTTAAATTTTAGAATAAATTGAAAAATACCCAACTGGAGTTTTGATCGGACTATTTTGAATTCATAGATTAATTTGGAGAGAATTGACATCTTTATAATCTTAAATTGTCCCTTCTAGAATTATGGAATATTTTTTTATTCATTCAGNTTTTTAAATCATTGATATTGATGTGATTAGGATCTTGCATATATTGTTATTCTGAGCCAAGTAGTATAGTAGACTTAATACAATTCTATTTAGTACAATTTTTATTTTTCTGAGGGTAAATTACTTTGTTTTTTTCATTTGCCTGGTTCCATATACAGTAAAACCTTGGATGGCAAGTAGCGTAGTTTACGAGTGTTCCGCAAGACGAGCAAACATTTCTAATGCATTTTAACTTGGTAAACAAGTAATGTCTTGCATTACGAGTAGTTTGTTTCCAGAACAAATTATGCTCACAAACCAAGTACATTTTAATGTGGTAAACAAGCGATGTCTTGCAATATGAGTAGTTTGTTTCTGGAATGAATTATGCTCACAAACCAAGGTATTGTATATGTGTTGCTAAATTTTTTTTAAACCAAATTCACCAACATTGCTGTCAGTTGCCTATCAATAGTACTTTCCATGTAATCAAACATGTAATGCTTTTTAGTTTTTCTTGGCGACCTCTTTCCCATAGTTCTCTGTCCTCCTGTTCCTAGATGTTGCTCTCTAGGTCTGCTGCCAGATATTGTCCTGGAACTTGCCTTTTATAATTGTACTGGGACTTGGTTCACCATTCTCATGTTAGTTTTCTAGTTTCTGAACATAATACCTTTTCTTTCTTAATTTACTTCCTAGTTTTAATGGAACACATAGGCCAGTAGCTTCCTAAGAAGAGCTACATCAAGGATTGCCTTGACTTAATCTTCATACTAACTTGGTATTTAATCTGGCTTGGTATGTACTCTTCACACTGGCTTTGAATGGGTATAAAATTCTAGGCCAGAATTTATTTTCCTTTGGAACACTAAAGGAATCACTTTATTTTCTTATTTCAATGGTGCTGTTGAGATGTCCATCGTCATTCTGATGCCTGTTATGTGAATCATGTTTTCCTCCTGGAAGCTTTTAGAGAGTTTTGTTTTCTCCTAATCTTCTGAAATTCTGCTGCAAAATATATTGTAAGATTTTTTTTTTAAGTCCATCATATTTTTCCCTCTCTTGGGGCTTCAAGGGAAAATGGGAAGGGTGAAGGAACTCACATTTATTCAGACTTTACTACCAGGCATTGAGCTGCATGCTTGCTATTTAATCTCATTGGAAACGTCCACTCTACTTGCATATTCCAAGGGTTCCAGCCCCTGCAAATTGCTTAATAATCTTTGTCCTTTTCTATAGAGCCCTCTGTCATCATCTCTACTACTGTTTTTTTCTTCTCTCCTTCCACTGTGAAAGCATATTTGTTGTTTCAGGGGTCAATGATGTTCAAGGATGTATCTATAAACTTCTCTCAAGAGGAATGGGAATGCCTGGATTCTGGTCAGATGAATTTATACAAAGAAGTGATGCTGGAGAATTTCAGCAACCTGGTTTCAGTGGGTAAGGATAACTGTCCCCCAAAATTCAGAGTGTGCCCTCAGGAATATCTTCTTTCTCCATTGTAAATTATTTTGTTTCAAGTAACCAGCTAAATTTCTACTCCCTGTTCCCCCAAGGAATGGTTTGAGTTGGAATGAAATGGAAGAATTGAAAATGGGCAGCTCCAATGGGATGGAGCTGAAGTTTCATCTTCATCTTTCCCTGGCCCTTCCTATAGTGGCATATCTTTCTTGATCACCAAGAGACTGCATCTGATTTCTGGAGCACCCACAGCATAACCATGTCCCATTTCTTTCCTTGTGATCAGGACTTTCCAGTTCTAAGCCAGCTGTGATCTCCTTATTGGAACAAGGAAAAGAGCCCTGGATGGTTGAAACAGAAGTGAAAAGAGGCCTTTGTTCGGGTAAGTGATAGTTGATATGGCAATGACTTTGTCCAAAGTTAGGTTGTTTGTGTTTTTATTATTTAGTTTTCTGTTGTTTATATAACCTAAATACAAGTCTNAGAATAAATTCTTGCTGTTGTATGTCACTGAGTTTAGGAGTGGTTTGTTAGGCAGCATTATTATCATAGCAATAGCTAACCAATACATATTAAAAAAGCCATATGATGATGAGATAAAGAATCTGGAAAAGATCACCAAGGAAAACTGGAAAGCAACAGAACAGGGCCAAGTACTTCTGGGGAGGAAAAGGCAACAAAGTAGACTAAGGAGTGGCCAATGGGGAGGGAGGACCACTTGAAACCAAATGCTGCAGAAAAATTTTTTCAAGCAGTTATCAACTATGACAAACGCTAAACAGAAGTCAACACAAGTAAGGCAAGACCCACTACACATACACATATCACAAATACCTCATCAGACCTTTTATGACAATCGCACAGTCAACACCACACACGTCATCATATTCACGCGTTACAACCAGAAACGTCACCATGACATAACCACACACGTCACAATCACACATCCCATCACAATTACTCTATCACATTCACACACAACCACACCACCATTACTCATACACTAACTCCTGCCACAGTTTCTTGCTCCAACAACTCCGACCACTCTCCAGGAGCATACTCCCACCAAGAACACTGTGCATTGCCCTTACTCTGAACACTCCGGGCCTCTTTAGAGGCTCCGCCCGCCAGGAGCGTGCAACGGCGCATCCCAGCTCTCCTCCACGCGCCGCTCCAGGGATGCGGCAGCGTCACCTGCCGGAAACGCCCGAATGCACATCCAGCGCAGTTTTTCGGAGGCTGAGTGAAGGCGACTAGCAGGAAAGCCCGGGCCAGGCGCGGGGAACGCAGAACCACTCCTCTGCACAACACCTCCCAGAAGGACCCGCGGCCGGATTCAACATCCGGCCAGAACGGAGTCTGCGTTTCCTGTGTGAGGGCGGGGGGTGAGCCAGGGCCGCGCCTGAGGGCCGGCAGAATCGCGCCCTGTTACCGCGAGCCGCAACTTGAAGACCCGACTAGACGCTGAGAGTTGCAGTTGTCGTCGTTTCGGGTGGGCCCGGTCAGGGTGCTGAGAGGATTGGCCGTGGGTCCCGCTCAGGACCACATTTCCCAGAGGGCCTGGTGGCCCGTCCCTCTTGTCTCAGGAGCTGGAACGTTTCGTCATGCCTAGCGGGACCGTTAGATCAGTGAGGTGAGGGATCGTGGGCCCCGGGGGAACCGGCTCAGGTTGCGACCCCGGGAGACCAGAAAGGCCTAAGTTGAAGAGACTGAAGGCGGGTACAGAGCTGAGTTCTCGGGCCTGTGCGAGCGGAGTGACCTGAAGCGGGGAGATTGTGGGATTGTCAGTGAGAGAGATTGTGACACTGCGACCTGTTGTGACTGTGTGTGTTGTGGACCCTTTGGTGGTGTGTGACACTGTGAGGTGCCTGCGACTGTGAGAGTATACCTGTGTATGTTGTGTGGTGGGCATGTGGTTGTAACTATGTTACCATGTGTGCCTGTGTGTGTGCGGGTGTGGAGTGCGCGTCCCCTTGGTTTCAGCGTATGACTGTGCCTAAAGTATGTGGCATTGTGTGTACGGGTATGGGGCTCTGTCAACTGTGCGATTGTGACTCCAGAATTCTGTCCCCAGGAGACCTTTGTGAGGTTTGGTCAGATTGTAGCCCCTCGACAGCAGTAACCTCAGATCTTCCCTTAGACACTGGGATTGGGCAGGATGTCCCATTCTCTTCTGACCTCCATTCCCTGTGTGTGGTGGGGGCTGGGGCTGGGAATGACTTCTGACCTGACCAGTTTGGGCAACAAGAAAACCTGGTGTCTCACAATTAGTTTTTCCTCT